ATGAAATCTTGCCAGTTGCAATGACATGGATGGAACCAGAGGGTATTATGCTAAGTGAAATAAGTCAATCAGAGAAAGACAATTATCATATTATTTCACTCATATGTAGAATTTAAGAAACAAAACAGATGAACATAGGGCAAGGGAAGGAAAAATAAAATAAGATGAAAATTGAGAAGAAGGCAAACCACAAGAGATGCTGAACGCTAGGAAACAAACTGAGGGTGGTTGGAGGGGAGCGGGGGTTGGGAAAGACTAACTGGGTGATGGGCATTAAGGAGGGCACGTGATGCAATGATCACTGGGTGTTATATGTAACTGATGAATCACTAAATTCTAGCTCTGAAACTAAAAAACAAAAAACAAAAAAATGAATTACCTACCTAAAGTTTGCATTTCAAAGAGATAGACTGTATAGGAGTTCCTAGAGAAGAGTGGGTAGTATGTTTATACTTCAAAAGCACAGGGGAGGAGTGCAAGTACCTCCAAGAAGGACTTCCATTCCCTAAATCCAGAATTTGACAATACCACAAGCCTTTTGAAATGAATACAAGTGGTTTTGGAATTGGCAAAAAGGATAAGCGGGCTTTGAATTGCTTGTAGAGCTGCATTTCTGTTCTTATAAAGAGTCAACTCATAAGACAAAACAGCTGTTTTTAATTCCTCAAAGAATTAGGTTGCAACCTGAATGATGTTGAAGGGCAATCCTTTAAAAAAACCCGATATTTCTGGCTAGCCATATTTTGGGGGTCTCCAACCTGACTGTTGCCACATCAAGTTCTCAGGACACAAAACAAGACAAATAAGAAGGCAGTAGGTGTTCCTGGGAGAGAAAGAATTGACAATGGGTACCCACAAACCAAATTCATAAGAGTCTGAATTTAGGAAGGAAAAGACAATGGGAAATTTTATTTTCCTCTCCCGACCAGGCACTGCAGAGATGTGGGAGAGCTGACTCTGATAAGAACTCTCACTGTTACGATGGACTCTGAGAAACAAACTGAGGGTTCTAGAGAGGACGGGGGTGGGAGGATGGGTTGGCCTGGTGATGGGTATTAAAGAGGGCACGTTCTGCGTGGAGCACTGGGTGTTATACGCCAACAATGCATCATGGAACACTACATCAAAAACTAATCATGTAATGTATGGTGATTAACATAACATAATAATAATAAAAAAATAAATAAAAAAAAGAACTCTCACTCTTGCCAGTTTTTGCCAGTTTCCCCAAGATCCCATCTGCAGGTTCTAGAGTGAGAGGGGGTTTAAAGTAGAGTGTAGCTCCATTATCTATCAGAATTTGGAAAGGTTTTCCACAAATTTAATTTTAGTTTCCCCTTGGCTGTTTAAGAGAATAACAGGTAGTAATTTGCTAGAGAATTCCTGAGTCCTGTCAACCCTCAGAGGGGCTTATATGCAGGCCCTTGTCTGAGGGTAGATATGGAGGTGTCTGTAAGGCTACTAACTTAGCTGACTTGTGTTTATGGTCTTGTAGTCTTTTCAGAGTGGAAAGACAATTCAGATAGAAGACGAGTAGACTGTGAGTACTCAAGTTAAAAAGGATAGAGGAAAATAGTGGGAGTCATGTCGGCCTCAGTCTTTGTTTTAGGTACCTCTTGTGTCTTTCATTTCTCATTCGCCTTTCGCAATAAATCTTTCAATGAAGTTATTTCAAGTTTTGGAAACTTGAAGACTTTTGGAAGCTTCTTCATACCAATTAAAATAGGTAGCCCATTATGTTTGTTTGAATTGGAAACCTTACTTTCAAGTGCACTTCTAAAATGAATGATCTTGTCAAACTAGAATGTTTCCCATAATAGCCATTGTAATTCTAGCTTGTCTTAATAAGATTTTGCCATTTTTATAGATGTCTACGGCTTCCAGGACCATGGTTCTTAGACATCAACTAGGCAGGTATGCTGGAAGGTGACATGCTTGATTCTTTGAAAATTGAGGATCCCATTTCTTTAGTTAAGCCTTGTGTCTCAGAGTCAAATTAGTAACTAAGAGAGATGTGCCACAGGGTTGAGGATTGTGCAGTGTTTTACAGTGTACATCACTGCTTGGGAATTTTCTTGGGTTGTCAAGGAAGCTAGTGTCAGTCTAACCTGTTCCATGACCAACATATCCTAGCATGTATCTTAGATTTGGGTGGTAAGTGCTCTAACAGCTTTAAGTCCTTGACCCATGCCTACTAATTTTGTGGTTCTGGCTTCCAAGATTCTCATTAGCAATAGATCTATTATCCCTTTCACAAGAATATACACCTCTCCGCTACAAGAATATTTCTTTATAGTGGCAGACACTCAAAAGGATTTTTTTTTTAAAAGATTTTATTTTTAGGTAATCTCTACACCCAACATGGGGCTCAAACTTACAACCCCAAGATCAAGAGTTGCATCCTCTACTGACTGAACCAGCCAAGTGCCCCTTGAATGGACTTGAATAGTCTGACTTGTGCCTATTTAGATTTTGATGTGCTGTTGGTCAAAAAAGTCCAAATATCTTGTCTTCATTTATTTCCCCATGTCCTCCAGTTGTTTATGCTGCGGACTTGCCTTGACGCTTTGTGAGTCCCCTAATGGCTGCCATCATGCTTTCTTTTGATTGAGGAGGACCCATTATTTTCCCTTGTTGAAATAATCCTCCCTAATTCAACCAGACTTACTGTTTTAGGCTGCCTGAGCACAGTCCCAGAAACCTATCAGTAACTCCAAAAGACACTTACCTTGAAGATGAGGTGGGCTCCAAACCCAAATGTTGTAGCCCACTAGGTCTCACTGTGAAAAATCCAGTCTCTCACACCCCAATTTTCCACCTGGAAGGATTAGAACAAACAAACTCAAAAGAGCTCAGCATATGATACAGGCAGAGCTCAAACCAAAGGAAGTTTACCAGAGATCCAGAAAGCAACCAAAGAGGTAGCAAACCAAAATAGCTCTGTGAGGACCTTCACATGCATCTAGGCACCAACCCCAGAATCTTCAGCAAAGGTCTTGGGATCCCATCCTCATTGACAAATGACAAAACTAAAACAATTTAATAACAAGTTTGATGTCCTTTATTTAAGGGAAAACATTCCATGGATTGGGGCAGTACAGTGCCTCACAAATAGTGGAGAACTCTTCCTAAGGGATTTGATGGAAAAATGAATTTTATAGAGCAATGGAAGAGGCAACTAGAAAATAGCTTGATTGGCTAGAAGGTTGGGGATTTCCCTATGAGGTCAGCAGGTCCTATTTTTTAGGATAAGGTAAGCTAGCTAAAGCTGAGTTGGAAGATTGTGATGGCGTATGTGAGGTTTCCTTGACAGGTGTTTCCTGAAAGTGCAAGCTGACTTAGGTTTAGATTTTGTGACATGGACCAGGCCACGGGCAGTGGGGCTTCCATTTTGTGGGTCTTGATATACAAGTTAACTTTATCAGTTTCTAATGATATTTTTGAAGTATGGATGTCAGATCATTGAAGTCTTGTCACTGGTCAAGAAATTCACCTAAAAATCAGATAAGGGCTGGAAGTAGATTGGGGTAGGGGCATTGAATGGGGCCAGTAGTAAAAACCTGTGGCTGATGGGCTGAGGATTTCCGAAGATTATGGGTATGAGAAGAGATTTTACAGTGTTACTTCCTTGAGTCTTACAGCTTGCTTCCTGTGAGGGCATTTGGGAAAGAGGCCCCAGGAAGGGGCCCCAAGAAGAGCATTTTATGTTCTAGGGATGTTGAGGGTGAACAAACGGTGATGAGGATGATGACAGAAAGCAGAAAAAGGAAACAAGCCTTCATTGGATACGCATGATGCACCAGGCACTTTGCTAGTACTTGAATTTTCTTCTCTTTTCCAAAAACCTTGAGTGCAGTGATTCTCAACCAGGGGCAATTTTGCCTTTGAGAGAACATTTGTCAGTGTCTAGAAATTTTTATTTTCACAACTAGGGGTGCTACTGGCATCTAGTGGGTGGGGGCCAGAGATGCTCCTAATCATTCTGCAATGTACAGGATAGTGCTTCACAATGAGAACTGTTTGGCCCAAAATGTCAAAAGTACTGAGGCTGAGAAATCCTGCTTGAAGGGTAGGCATGATTACCTTCATTTTTATTGACAAGCAACCTGAGCTGGCGTTCAGAACTAGACTTATATAGCTCCAAGGCCCGCGCTCCTTCACCATGCCATGGGGATAGGAATAGTGATGGAATTGAAGATGGTAAAGATAAAGAACCAGGGCACAAGTTGGTGTTCTGTTGAAGGAACAAGCAAAAGAATGAAGGCCAGGGGCGCCTGGGTGGCTCAGTCAGTTGGGCATCCAACTCTTGATTTCGGCTCCGGTCATGATCTCAGGGTTGTGAGATGAAGTCCCATGTCTGGCTTTGCGTTCAGTGTCTTCTTGTATCCCTCTCCTTCTGCCTTTCCCCTTCCCCCTGCAAGCGCACACGCCTGAGTGTGTGCTCTCTCTCAAATAAATGAATAGATCTTTTAAAAAAAAAGAATGAATGCCAGAGGGGAATAAGAGGATGAGCGTAACCATCCTGGTGCCACCCTGGCACACATCCTTGTTCTTGCTCCACGATCTAGGAGTAGGTCGGAGATCATGATAACAAAGAAAATCAACTGATGGTGGGGGGCCTCAAGACCACCATCATCAGTTTCAGGAGCAACTGGGCCTCCAAATGGAGCTAGAAGTCAGAGAAGACTGGCTGCGCATTCTACTCTCCTGCCTTTTCTAAAGAGGTAGGAACAGATAGGTTCTGAGCTGGATTTGGGCAACCATTCCCCTCTTACTCCCAGAGGACACAGGCCTAGCTGTGTCCCAAAAGAAGAGGAAGACATTGTTTCCCAGTTTCTAAAATTTCTGTGAATTTGGAATTGGGCTAAGCCAGACCCATTCTGGGAAGCTCTGAATCTTCTGGGAGGGAACAGTTGAGAGGAAAAAGGGTGAAGGGGAGGAGCCTATGATAAAACAACATTTCTTTTCACTTCCTCTTTTGGACTTCAGAATCTGTCTGTCCTCTCGGGTGGAATCTGTCAAGTCTCAAGAGAAGTCTCTGCCTGCCACACTGGTGCTGCTGGAGCCAACGTGAGCCAGCAAGTGATGCAGATCCCCTCGTTCCTCCCCATTCCTGCTGCTGATAGTGACTGGGCTGATTGTGTGCCCTGCCATCCTCTGGGTGACATGCTGCTGTGGACAGCTCTGCTCTTCTTGGGTGAGTCGGTGTCCTCATGAAGGACAGAGGCAGGTGCACCTTCCTAACTCAGCTGCTGCTTCCCTGGGTCAGGCCGAGCTGTGGCAAGGATGAGGGGTAGCATGGGAAGCATTCAAGAAAATGAGGAGGGTGAAGCAGGCTGATGAAGATCAAACTCTGACAACCTTACTGGCCTTGGCAAATGATAAAATTGGCAGAGTTTTTGTTTTAGTTTTTAGTGTCTTTTGCCCAATATCAAGGGGCAGCCAGGTCCCTGATGTTCTGCAACCACCTACATCTGAACCTGCTCTGAGGAAAGTCTAGTGACCTAGACTTGAGTGACTAATGAGTGGCCAGGGTGTTTTCATTCCTTAAAAATTTGTGTTTCACGGGGACCAAATCGTAGGTGGGAGGGCTAATGCTGTCTTAGATAAGGGGTGGGGAAGAAGCAATAGGACACTTGGCGGGGGGGCAGTAGACATTCTCTGTCAGGCAGCAGAAGCTTATTCTGTTTATGTGTTAGATTTCCCTGGGAAGAAGCAAAGAGGGTCTGGGTTATCCAGGGAACAGGGGTTCAGAGAACACACAACCTGGGCAATTCTGGAATCGTCAATTGTAGGACCGGAGAAATCACCCATGCTTCCTTGTACACACACATGGGGATAGGTCCTGGTTGTGATCAGGGAGAAAGTCAGGGTCCTAGGCCAAGATGGAGGGACAGGGACTGATGATGCCAGGTGGGAGGAAATCTAGGGAGGCCAGCCAGGGGAGCGCTATCACTAGGATTGTCTCTCCAAGCTCAATTCCTAGAGTTTCCACCCTCAAAAAAACCTTAGCATAGCCCCAGAGGAAGACATGTAGCTACTCTGGAGTTAGGTGCTATGACTGATAATAAAATCTGGTCATCTCTGGGAGTCCTAGGCCCTCAGTGTTGAATGATACTGGGATAGGAAGCAGAGGTGAGGAAGAGAGAGTATTCCTTCATGAGCAGGATAAAATGGACTGAAGGAGAATAACATGTGAAAGGAGCATTAGACTATCTCATTTTTCACGTGAGGAAGCTCAGGCCTGGAGAGATGATATGCTTCTCCATCTCTGCTGTTAGTGCTACCAATGTACCAGTCACCTGGGCAAGACTTCTGGGCAAGACTTGGTCTTTTCTTCCATTTGTCCTTTTGCTAAGTCACCAAGGATTTGCTCCATTTTCCCCATTCTTATTTGGACCACCATATTTAGGTCTTCATCCCTCAATAACCCAGCTTTGACAACAGCCTCTGACCCCATCTCGACCGCTCCTGTCTCCTCTCCTCTGAATCTGTGCTGCACACCGAGGCCATGACATCTTCAAGGGCAGCTAAGTCACTGCACTTCAGAAATGCCTCCAGGACTGCTCCATTACCTACTAACTAAGGCCTCCATTCCACCCTCTTCACCACGTTCCCATTGCCCCCAAGTGGATCTTCCTCTACAGCCAGGCAATGTGGACACTGCATTTCCTGCTTTCTACAGATTCCACAAACTGCCTTGTTTAAACATTAAATGAATGCATGAACAGGCCCTGTTCTAGGACTTGGAGATTTACCAGTGAACAAGACAGACAGACTTCCTGACCTAAAGCATAAGGTCTTTGTCTCCCTTACAATGACTCTATTGAGTGTGTATTCATGACCATTTGTTGAGTGTGGAATGAATAAATGGCTAATGACTTCTCTCTACTCTTCTCATTTCTTTCTTATTTCTCCTCTTCCCCTCCTCTTAGGTTCTACTTCTTTATTTGCTCCCCTACTGCACTGTCCCTCTTGCCAATCCGACACTCTGGTTTTTAGCTATCACTTCTATGTCAACAGCTTCCAAACCCGTCTTTCTTGCTTGTGTCAGCTACAATTTCGTGTTTCCACCTGCTGGTTGGACACCTCCACATTGGTATGCCGGTTCAGAAACAAAACATATTCAAACTCAACTTATCATCTTCCCATTGCAAATGTACTCCTCTTCCTAACATTTATATTTGTGTGAGCACAGGTAACCTTTCCTTACGTTACTCCCACTCTCATCAAGTGCCAGCTTCCCCCAGTTGTGCCTCTTACATTTCTCTCATGTGGGGGCGCCAGGATGGCTCAGTCGGCTAAGCATCTACCTTCGGCTCAGGTCATGATCCTGGAGTCCCGGGATCAAGTCAGGCTCCCTGCTCAGCAAGGAGTCTGCTTCTCTCTCTCCCTCTGCCGCCCAGCCAGCTCGAGTTCTCTCTCTCTCTCACTCTTTCTCTCTCAAACAAATAAATAAAATCTTAAAAAAAATTTCTCTCATGTGCATATCTTCTTCACTTCCTATTATCGTAACAACTGTGGCACCTCTTATCTCCCACCTAGACTCATTCAATAAGTGATTTCCAGAGCACTGGCAAATAAAATTGATATGGCTACTGCCCTCTTAGATCTCCTGGGCGATCTAAACAACAAATAAACAGACACTCAGGTATAAATATAAATTAGAAAGGGCCATGAAGATATAAACAGGATACTGTGATAAGAATAGTGTTTGTGGGGAAGAAGAAAGAATGATAAACAGGATGATAATGGAAAGCGTTTTCTGAGGAGGTGACACTTGAGCTGGGACTTTGAGCTCCGCAAGGATCTAGCTGTTTGAAGAGATAAAGGAAACAGGTCTAGAGGAGGGATCCGCATACACAAAAGCCCCAGGTATGAAGAACTCAAAGAGGGCTGTGTTATGGGAGCTCCATGAGTAGGGGAAGAGGGGCTTGAGATGAGGCGGGAGAGGTGAGCAGGGCCCTTGTCCTGTCTCGTGTGGCCTCGTAAAGATGTACTTTTATTTCAAGAGCAAAGGAAGGCCCTTGAAGGCTTCTAAGCAGAGGAGTGATATTATTGGAACTGATATTAAAAAAAAACAAAAAACAAAACAACTCTACCTTTTCTGTGGAAAGTGGATTGTGGGGGACAAAGGAGTGAGGAGAGGAGTTAGGAGGCAGAGAAAGCTGGTGGTGACTTAAACTAGCACGGTGGCCATGAGCAGGGAGCAAAGTGGATGGACTCAGGGCCTGAGTCGGAAGCAGAATCAACAAGATTCACTGAGGTGAAGGGGCAGGGGCCTTGGGAGAGCGGGGAATAAAGGTGACTTAGAGCTTTCAGGCACAAGTAACTGGGGAGATGGTGAAGATGTGCCTGGGAAAGAATGAGAGAGAAAAGTTGTGGTGGGTTGGTGAAGGCAGAGTCCAAATTTCGGAGAATGAAACAGTGAATGGAAGGAGTAGAAATGAGCATAGCCCATGTAGAAAAAAAATTGAGAAATCTGGTTATGGGGGCCCCTGGGTGGCTCAGTGGTTAAGCATTTGCCCTCGGCTCAGGTCATGATCCCAGGGTCCTGGGATCGAGCCCCGCATCGGGCTCCCTGCTCGGCGGGGAGTCTGCTTCTCCCTCTGACCCTCTTCCCTCTCATGCTCTCTCTCTCTCATTCTCTCTCTCTCTCAAATAAATAAATAAAAAATCTTAAAAAAAAGAAAAGTGTCAGAATGGCAGCTCAATGTCCTTTTGAATATGGTGACCACAAATTTACAGAGACTCCGATCTGCCTGCTTGTGTGATCATTTTAGTGACGCACAGCTGAACCATAAAGGCATGGACAGTACAGCTAGATTTAACAGAGACAGGGAAGGGCAAAGGAGTTAAGGGGATTTGCATGCAAGGGATTTTTTTTTTGGAAGTGATTCTTGTAATGATGAATCATTAAATCTAAACCCTGGGCTGATCTTCGCTTTCTCTCTTACAGCTCCAGTGGCTGGGACACCTGGTAAGTACACCACCCACATCCTCTCCCGCCCCCAGCTACGCTCTTCCTCTGCTCCCAGCCCCCCACGCGCCTGGAGGTGCCCTGAATGCACCAGTAACCCAGTACCTAGGTGGGGCCAGGAAGGAGATGTCCCGCCCTCTCTCCCTCTCTCCTTTCTCTTTCCCCTCCTCCCAGGGAAGCCGAGGATAGACCTCCAGGGCGCACAGGTGCTTTAAACCTTCTGGTTCTGTTAGGGTGAGAAATCACAGATATTGTCACAGAAAATAACTCATCCTCTCTCTCAGTAAAATCAAGAGTCCAGACATTTTTAGTCTCAGCTGCACGCAAAATCCCATCATGTGCTTAGGTTATCTCCCCGTGTTGATAAATCCCCCACTTTGCACGTATCTGAGGGCTTCGGGGCCTGTTTCCCTGGACAGAACTAGGAGGAGAGACCACTGATTGCAGCTTGGTGAAGTAAAGTCTGCCGGGCACTTCTTTCTCTATGCCAACCAGCTCCCCACCTCCCAGGGCTCCCCGGGGGGCGGGTGGGGGGTTGCCACTCTCCCTGGGGCACTGAAGCCAGGGCTCCCTAGACTGGCCCTCCAGCCTTTCTCTTTCTTGATCCTTCTGAGGTCACAGAGACTCCTCTGTACTTGGCTGTGAGGATAGGTCTATTCTAAGGGAGCAAGATTGACATCAGGTCAGAACAGAAACCTGATGTCTGACTCATGCTGGATACCTCCACCAGATGCCTTCATCCGGCTCTGGAGAGAGTTTATCCACTAGTATCCAAAATGCCTCAGTTTACAGGGGAACAAAATGAATTCTAGAAAGTTATGTACATGGTGTGTGTGTGTGAGAGAGAGAGAGAGAGAAAGAAAGAAAGAAAGAAAATAAGAAAAAAGAGAAAGAAAGAGAGAGAGAGAAAGAGGAAGGAAGGAAGCAAAGAAGGAAAGAAGGAAAGGAGAGGAAGGAAAGAAAGAAAGGAAAGAAAGAACTGTTGCAGATGACCCCTGGTGAGGTAGACATACATTTCTAGTGTTTGCTTTGCCCCTTCTCCCTTTCTCTTACCTTGCCATCTCTTCCTGAGGAAGCTCCCTGAGCAGACCTGGCTTCCTGGGGACCCCTGTGGTAGGACACATGAGTAAGAGGAATTACCTACAGTTACATAACAGTTCTGGGCCAGGTTCCACTCTTGATGTCCTCAAAAGGACCAGAGGCGCTTTACTATCTGAAATTCGGGGGCCTGGTTAGACTCTTGGGGCCCCCTTTCCTCCTGCTTCCTCCTCTCTCTGCCCCTCAGCAGGTCTCCCGAAGGCTGTCCTGGACCTTGAGCCCCCGTGGGTCAATGTGCTCCAGGAGGATCCCGTGACCCTGAAGTGCCAGGGGGCCCGCACCGCTGTGGACCACGTCACCCAGTGGTTCCATAATGGGAGCTCCATCCCAGCCTTGGTCCAGGCCAAGTACAGTTTTAAGGCCAGACAACAGGACAGCGGGGAGTACAGGTGCCAGACGGACCAGACCAGCCTCAGTGACCCTGTGCATCTGGATGTGACTTCCGGTCAGTGGAGGAAGGGCCTGGGGAGGGCCTGGGAGGACACGGAAAGATGAAATCTGCTTACGTGGCAGAGGTTTTTAGGGAAGGGAGGTAGTCTGTTTCCTCGGAATCAGCGCTGTGAGTTGTTGGAAGCTGTTTTCATCCACTCACTTCCCTTTTCACCCACCCCCTTTGCTTAGTGTGTGTGGTGGTGGTGGAAGGTCTTAAGAAATTCCTCAGTATAGGTTGTTTTGCCTCAATCCTGATGGAGCAAGAAGGTTACAAGGCTACAAACAAGCATGTAGGGTATGAGAGAAGCAGAAAGAAATTCTGACTATATAAAAACCCATTTTTGTAGCCATCACAAAGCATAGACAGACCACAGCTGAGTCTTCGGCCTGGACACCACTAGCCATGTGAACATGGTGATTCGTCTGCGCTTGGATTTGATTCCTTGCCTGCTCATGGGGGTATTAATGCCTCCCTCCCCAGGTCCTGGTGGGAATCAACATTTCCCTGCCCCCCTGCTCTCCATGCAACTTGACCTGGAAGTTGTGTTGATCTTTTTTTTTTTTTTTTTTTTTTTATTAGCGAGAGAGGGAGGGCGGGGCAGAGAGAGAGAGAGAGAGAATCTCAAGCAGGCTCCACACCCAGCACAGAGCCCTACATGGGGCTTGATCTCACAGCCCTGAGGTCATGACCTGAGCTGAAACCAAGAGTCGGTTGCTTAACCGACTGAGCCACCCAGGCGCCCCCTGACAGTTGTGTTTTAAGTATATTTGCATTTCCAGCCCCTGACAAGGGCAGGGCTTAATAAATGTTTGCTAAACAGATGAATGATTTTACAAAGCTTCTGGCAAAAAGTAGCTTCTCTGTAAAGAAGAGCCACCCTGAGACTATGATGAATATTGTCATTGTTACTCTTCGTGTAGTCCCTTTCCCTCCCTGGATGCCTAAATTTTCCTCAAAAGCACACAGTGGGCCTGTTGCTCCCACTCTCTCCGCATAACAGGAAGTAATAGGCCTGGAGGGAAGCTCCTGAGGCCTGACATCTCTGTCCCTGCCCCTGCAGGAAGGCAAGGAGGGGAGGGCATCCCACCCTGGAGCCTGAGTGTGTTCCCGTGTCGCCACTGGCATGTGGAGGAGCTGTGGGTGTTTCTTGATTCTTTACAAGGCTTCCAGGAGATTGCAGGGGCATTTTGCTCCCAGATGGATGGGAAGGCCCTCTGATTACTTGAAGAACATCTTATGAGGGCCGCTAACAGGAAGCTGGCCCCTGCTCTCCAGATCTGCACCAAGATAAATGTCCTCAAGGAGAGCTAAGGTGGCCCCCTTGCACAGACCAGCCGAAGGCAGATACTCCTCATTATCTAGGTTATAACCTGGTGCCCAAGAGACTCTTCAGGGAAGAAAAGCCATTCCAGCCATGTAGGTCTTCTGTGGTGGGGATTACCGTGACAGGGAAGAGAAGGGCAGGAATTGGTTGCTGGGGCTACATGGCAACTTGGGCATTTTCTCTGGGTTCTACTTTATTTTTTCAAAGCTTTACAATTCTCAGCATCCGCACCTGCCCTAATCCAATCTCATGAGAGGGGCAGTCTAGGGAACCAGGACGGCTCAGCCTCATCCCGGAGTGCAGTGTCCAGCCAGGGTCTCGGTTCTCCAAGAGGAGGAATATGCAGTATGGTAAGGCAAGGAAATGGGTGGAAGCTAGCTGTGCCTCCCCGACAAGAGAGGTGGGGTTTTCTAGCTTGTGGCAGCTGAGTAGCAAAAGCCAGTGCCACCCTCCGGCCCTGGATTTCCCGCTGTAGCTGTGGCTGACTTTTCTCTGTGATGTAATTGGTATTGAGCATCTCCTCCTGCGTCTGTGGTCATGTCACCAGCCAGTGCAGAGACTTGGTTGGCCTCATCCTGGTTGGCTGTAGGGGGTGCTTGCTGGGAACATGTGTGACTGATTTATTTACTTGAGAGAGAGAGAGAGAGAGCATGAGTCAGGGGTGGGGGCAGAGGGAGAGGAGAAGCAGGCCCCCCGCCGAGCAGGGAGCCCCACAGGGTCTCGATCCCAGGACCCCGAGATCATGACCTCAGCCGAAGGCAGACGCTTCACCGACTGTGCCACCCGGGTTCCCCCTTCTAATTCTGCTGTTGCCTTCTACCCTACCTCTCTTTCCAATTCCAGTTCTGCTCCATCCTCCAGCTTTAGGGAAAAGGAGCATGTGGGCTGAGGTCAGGAGTACAAATATCTACCCTTAGGCTTTATTCCCTATACAACAAAAATGCTAAATATTTTTTCTTCCTCAGTAAAAGGATGAACATTGGGAGGGAAAAAGGACACAGCAGGCTAATGACCCACCTTCAGACCAAGGTGACGCTGCTGCCGACAAAGACCTTGCTGAAGTAAAACTCCACATTTACCAACATACATCAAATAAGCTAATACTTCTTGGACGTCCATGACTTCCTCCTCTCCCAAAAGACATATCTCTGCCGTGTCCCCCCACATGTCATCTCTTAGGTCCGACTGGATCTTTCCCCTCCCTCCCCCAAGGAAGGGACTGCACCCTGGGCTCTCTTGTATCCTTCCCGTCCTGTTGGGCAGGACAGAGCTTCAGCTGCCTTCTCCCAGGACGGGAAAGAGAAGACAAGCCTGTCCTGAACACCTACTATGTGCCAGGAACTGCTGTAGATGCATGGTATTGTTATGTCCATTTCCACAGAGGAGGAATCCAAGGCCCAGAAGAGGCCCAAGACTACAGAGCTCCCCAATGACAGAGCCAGCGTTAGAGACCAGGGCCATTGGATTCCAGACTTAAGCTCTTCCCTCCACACATCGTGTCCCACCGGAAAGGACAGTCTCAGAGTTGGGTCAAGACCTCCTGGGTCCTAGGGTCCCTTTGTGTCTTTCAGACTGGTTGCTGCTCCAGACCCCTCGCCTGGTGTTCCAGAAGGGGGAGCCCATGGTGCTGAGGTGCCACAGCTGGAAGAACAGGAGTCTGTACAAGATCACATTCTTCCAGGACGGGAAATCCAAGCAGTTTTCTTCTCTGAATTCCACATTCTTCATCCCAGAGGCAAACCTCAGCCACAGTGGCGACTACCACTGCACGGGAATGATAGGGCAGATGCTGCGCCTCTCACAGCCTGTGGCCATCACTGTCCGAGGTGCGGACTCCGTCCCGATGGAGGGAGGATGACAATGAGGGGATGGGCAACGACGGCTAAGGTCCTACGGGCCTCCTTGGAGCTGAGAAATGCCAGAGGGCAGACGCCTGGGCACTGAGGCAAAGTGGGGAGGAATGGGGGCCGTGAGAAATATTGGCCGTGGGCAGCAGGAGGGGCTAGAGCTTGGGGCCCTCCGCTCCAGGTCACAGGGGAAAGGCTGTGTGCCCTTTGAAATGCAGGCCCCGTCTGTCCTAAGGACAGTGATGGAGCAGAGCTCCCGCACTGGGGCAGGGGTTCCTTAAGCTCCCGGACGTTCCCAAGAACTGAGGTTTTCTTATTTCTTCTTAGTTCTCACGTTATGCCCGTTCACTCCCCAAGCAAGGCATGACCGGTCCCCGACAGCTCAAGGCCTTGTGGGATCCAGTCGCGGTGCCTCCAGTTAGGGGAGGCTTCAGGTCCCCCTTCCTCCTCTCCCTGAGCTCGGCCCCCACACACTCAATAATGTACCTTTATTGGCTGAGCGGAGACACCTGTGAGTGAGGAGGCATGAGTCCAGCCGCAGTGTGGTCCGCACAGGTGAGGCTGGGGGAGGACCCAGACAAAGGACAAGGGACAAGGGACCCAGACACAGAGCAGCTCCCGGGGAGCAGCATTGGGGTAGAGCATGGGAGGCGGGAGGCTACTGCCTGTCCTGAGGTCTGTCTCCCCCAGGGTCCAGCTGGAGCGACTCCTCCATGGTGATGACAGCTGGGGCTGTGGTCGCCGGCACCGCTGCGGTGGCCATCCTCGCCGCTGCCGTGGTCTGGTTCCGCCTCAGGCAAAAGCAAACTTCAGGTTCGTGGCTTCTCTGGGTTTCTCTTGCTGTCAGTTCCTACTTGGCCAAGGCCCTAACCATGACCATCGCCAGGACCCTCCTCTTTGGGCTAAGAGAATCCTTATAGTTCGTTCGGACTAGCCCCATATTCATTCATTCATTCATTCATTCATTCATTCATTCATTCATTTTTAAAAGATTTTATTTATTCACGAGAGACAGAGAGAGAAGCAGGCTCCCCGCCCGGAGCAGGGAGTCCCGGATCCCGACCCGAGCCAAAGGCAGACGCTTAACCGACTGAGCCGCCCAGGCGCCACGTTCATTCACTTATTCAACAAGGCTTGGAAAATCTTGCTTATGGGTGGAGCACTGTGCTAGGCACCGTGGATGATGAGGAGTCCAGTCCCTGCTCTCAAGGAGCTCACGGTGCCGTGGGGAAGACAGAAGGACAAGTCAATCGTTAGAATTAGGTGGGATTGTGATGGGAGGCGGGGGGACACGGGCCCACCTGACGCAGCGTGGGGCGAGCGGTTAGAGACGCTTTCACAGGGGACAGTGGTATATCTAGTGACCAAAGCACACGTGGGGGGCCGGCCGCCCCGGTTTAACTCTCAGCTCCACAGTGCACCAGCTGTGCGACTTGGGGGAGTTCTTCAGTATCTCTGTGCCTGTATTTCTTCATCTGGAAAATGAGGACACTGATAGAACCTACCTCGCAGGATTGGGTGAGGATGAATGTGGCTGAGCGCTCATCCCAGGGCGGAGTACTTAGCACATGAGAGAGAGCCGTTCTCACGACCGAGGAGGGGACGTTTGGGGGTAGCAGTCAGCCAGGCAGAGGGGGCTGGAAGAGCATTACAGGCGTGGGGGCCGAGGTACGGAAAGGAGGAGCACTGCGGCTGGGCTGGGACCGGGGCTGGGGGAGGAGCAAGGAGGGGGCGGTAAGGGGTGCGATGCGTTGAAACCATAAACTGCAAGGCCCAGGGAGGAGGGAGGAGGCGGGACAGACAAATGGGAAAGGGCCCAGTCCTGCAGACCACAGAGGCCACATTAGAGAAGGAAACTGCGCTCCAGCGTGGGTGGCCAGACTACAGGAAGGAAGTCACCATAAGTCCTCATTCACTGCCCCCCACCTCGTGCCCGTGCCTAGCCCGGTTTGCCAGGCCGGGAGACGGAGTCCCTAAACGTCTGTTCACAGACGGTTGCCCTGAAGAACTTCGACTCTTGGAAAGGAGCTCCTTCCCCCTTAGCACTATCCTGAAGGAGCTCAGAGAGGGGGCGAGGTGCCCTGGAGATCTAATAAGCAAATTATCACAGTTTGTCGCACTGGAAAGCTAGCTTGCTGGATTACAAGTCTAAAGACACCCAGAGAAAGAAGAGGAAAAAAAACTCCCAGCCATGGAGAAGGAGAAGAGACTGCTCCTCATACCTCACAAGGCACTTTTGGCATTGGTGCATAGCTAGGCCCTCCGTTACTGCCACTCACTAAATACAGAGATGCACAGAGATTCTGAGAGGGAGGAAAAGGAGCTTTTTAAAAGGCAGAGCAAGCCTGAGAAAGATGCAGCCGAGTGGCCTTTCTGACAGCCCCAGGGGTTCCCACGGTTCCCAACTCAGTGGCCCTTTTACAGGCTGGGCAGGCCCTGGGCAGGAGAGCCGGGGAATGGGGAGGAGGGGAGGCATCTCTGTGGGGACGGGTCTCTGTTGGTTCTAACCCAATCCTGCCCCTCCTCCTCGCCTGAGGACTCAGGCCCCACCCTATAACCTTACTAACCTCCTCTGTGCCCCTCATAGCTCCCCTAGGAAACCCCAAGCACAGGGAAATGGGAGAGACCCTCCCTGAGGAACCAGGTGAGTGCCGCTCCCTGTTTTGGGGGCTCAAAGTGGACTGGAGCCCGCAGGAAGTGGCTTGTGTGAGTTCAGCTGGGAGCACAGCAGAGGGAGGGGGCGGTGGGAGGAGGGCAGGGGCTCAAATCGCTTGGTTGGTTCTGAGACTAACTCCTGGGCCTAAAGAGGACCTCGCTGGGGATGAGGGGAGGAGGCCCACCTGTCGCAGATAGAGAGGGGAGGGCTGTGTCCGAATTTTGGAGCCAAGAATGCTGGGAGCCTTTGCAGTGCAGGACATCAGAGACATTTGGGTCCATCTGTGGGGTTTGGCAGAGCTGACACAGGACAGGGGTTAGAGTGGAAAGACTGAGACACACGGGATTAAGAAAAGAGAGGGAGACCTAGGGAATGATCCCTGGACACGCTGAGGACTCTGTCTCGGGGAGTGATGGGGGAGGGGTGGGGCATTAGGAGGACATCCGGGCTGGAGAAGGTCCTAGGGGACTGGGTGTATTCGTGGGCTTCACTGCTGGGCAAAGTTTGGCTCCGATGCCTGCATGTGTAAGTTTATTAAACACGGGCCTGGCCCCAGTTTTGTCACCAGTAGCCGGTGCAATCTTGCACATTTCCCCACCGCGGGGTGCAGTCACCTCCCTGAGGAAATGAGTGGATTGGCCTGATGACCTCAAAGCCCTTCCGGGTCTGACATTCTGGGAGCCAGTGACTGTCCAACCCTTGGCCCAGGTGGGAGCAGGAGTGTCCCAGCCGACCTCCTGACTGTGGCTAAGCCAGAGCACGAGGGAACCTGGAACTTTCTCGAGGGGCTCCTGGACAACAGAAACAGAGGAAAAAGACGCCCTCGAGGACTCTGCGTCAGGTGGCTGGAGTGTGACTCAGAGCGGAACCAACAGATTCGAGAGCTTGAGCAAAATGGCACTTGTCCCGCTGTGCTTTGAGCAAGGCCCTTGCGTTCTTGGCCACGTCAAGTGGGGATGCGGGCTTGAGCCTGCGCCAGGCCAGACCAGATCTAGAAAAAGCCCAAACACAACTGGAACAGCCCCTTGGAGGTTTGGCTCTGTCTACACTGGCACAAATACATTTCACAAGCACTTATGTCACCGCCAGGCACAGGGGCTCATGGTTTCCCATCAGCGAGCTAGGTCGCTAGGATTGTTGAGAAATGCATTAGAAGGAGAATTCAGGAGGTGGTTTGTTCCAGAATCTGGAGCATGGCAAACAGAGACTGTCTGTGTGCAAGGGTGAGTGGAGACACTAGATGCATTGTCTCAGCACCGCCTCCCCCCCCCCCCCCCCCCCC